ACCCAAGCACCTGGGCTCGGCACAAGTCTTTGCTGAATATTTGCTTCCTCATTATGCTTTTCCGTCCCATCTGTTCATCGTTACACAGACGAGATTCGCTCTGGTGCCTATCGACAACTATTTCATCCGTCCCAGCTTATTTCTGGCAAGGAAGATGCCGCCAACAACTATTCACGCGGTTATTACACTGTCGGGAAAGAGATGGTCCGACTGGCGCTTGATCAGGTGCGACAAGTTGCCGAGGCCTGTAGCATGCCGCAAGGATTCATCCTCTTTCACTCTATAGGTGGTGGCACAGGCGCCGGATTCGGCTCCCTCCTCATAAATCAGATGACCCAAGACTATCGAAAGCGCACCAAAATCGAACTTGTCGTCTATCCAGCCCCACGACTAGCCACCTCCGTCGTGGAGCCCTACAATGCTGTGCTGGGCACGCACGCCTGTATCGAGGATTCTGAGGTAGTCTTTCTGATGGACAACGAAGCAGTATGGGATATCGCTCGACGTAACCTAAACCTTCGTCGACCCACTTACACCAACGTGAATCGCATATTGGCTCAGGTGATTAGTTCACTTACAGCGTCATTGCGATTTCACGGCAGTCTGAATGGTGACCTGACTGAATTTCAAACAAATTTGGTACCATATCCTCGCATACATTTCCCTCTAATCACGTATAGCCCAATTGTGTCAGCCGAAAAAGCCTACCACGAACAGAACAGCGTAGCCCAAATAACACGTGCTTGCTTTGAGCCAGCCAACAGTTTTGTCAAGGTTGATCCTCGTCAAGGCAACTACATGGCTGTGTGCATGCTTTACCGTGGTGATGTGGACCCTAGCAACGCAAATCAGGCTATTAACGGTATCAAGTCGGCAAGGTCCATTCGATTTGTTGACTGGTGTCCTACCGGGTTCAAGGTGGACATCAACTCACAACCAATCACCGTGGTACCTGGAGGCGATTTGGCCAAGGTATTACGCACATGTGCTATGCTGGCCAACACGACAGCCATTTCGGCTGCATTCGCTCGGCTTGATCGAAAGTTCGATTTGATGTTTCAAAAACGAGCATTTGTTCACTGGTTCGTGAGTGAGGGAATGGAAGAAGGTGAGTTTATCGAAGCACGCATGGATCTGGCAGCTCTGGAACGCGACTATGAGTCAGTGGGTGAGGA